GGTAAAAATCGGGTGGACACAGATATACACACCACTGCACAGGGAACTGAGATTGGAGAATGGAGGAGAACACAGGAATGGAAGTGAACCAAGGGCCCTGCATTTCCTACTCCAGGCCTTGATGGTGGTGGTTGTTGTCACAATCCCATCATTTTAAAAGAAACAATTTCAAATTCCTAGCAAAGGCCTCTGAGTACAGCCTTTGATACATGCCCTTTCCATTAGGTAAACTGTAATCATTTCCCTCCTAGTATCACTGTGAGGCTTTAAATATTATTGTGATATTCGAAGGCAGATGATACTGAATCTAGCCCTCTGTCAAAAAAAAGTGAATCATGACAAATTCCTGAAATGTGAGGTTAGAAAATAATATTCTTCAAGCGCTTGTCCTCTAATCTTACTCTTACTGAGCTCGTAAAATATCCTTTCCATTGCCACCTTGGAGACTTAACTCCAAGTTTCTCAATCTTTGTCCTTTCTGTAAACACAGTAATAAGGCAGTTTTATTTATTTTATATAGATTTTTAAAATATTCTTCAAGCTTGTCCTCTAATCTTACTCTTACTGAGCTCGTAAAATATCCTTTCCATTGCCACCTTGGAGACTTAACTCCAAGTTTCTCAATCTTTGTCCTTTCTGTAAACACAGTAATAAGGCAGTTTTATTTATTTTATATAGATTTTTAAAATTTTTATTAGTAAATGTTTGCAATGCATTATGTTTACATTTCTTGGGTGAACTTTGGTGCATGTATATAACAGATCATAATTTTACCTTCTTCATTTCCTTTCTCTCTTCTCCCTCCCCACTCCATCTCTTAATCCCCTTTCCATTTCAGAAGGATTTATCTCACTACTTCCTATTATATATACTTTATTTTGCTCTTTATCTATAATTCAAGTTTCTCATATAAAAGAAAACATGAAATATTTAAATTTTTGTATCTGATTAATTTAGCTAAAGGTGCATCCATTTTCCTATAAATGACTCCAGTGTACCCTTCTTCATATCAGAGTAGTACTCCATTGTGTATAAATACCACATCTTCTTTACCAGTTCATCTGTTGGTGGACATAGAGGGCATGTCCAAGATTTAGCTATTACGAATTGTGCTGCGATAAACATGACTATGCATGTATTACTGTAATATGATGTGTTTAACTCTTTTGGGAAGATACCCAGAAGGGGAATAGCTGAGTCAAATGGAATTTCCAGTTTTTCTTTCTTGAGGACTCACCGCACTAACTGTTTACAACACCACCAACAATGTAGAAGAGTTACTTTTCCCCATAGACTCACCAGCATTATTATTTGATTTCTTGGCAATGGCCATTATTTCTTGGGTGAGATGGAATAATTTCAGTATTGTTTTTAATTTGCTTTATTTGAGTTTCCATTGGTGTGTACATTTCCTCATATATTTTGTGGCCATTTTATACTTTTGTGGCCACTTTATTTCTCTATTTCACATGCTCATTTTTTTGATTGGGTCTTTTTGGGGGGAATCTAATTTTTTGAGTTCTTCATATATTCTATGCATCAGTTTTCTGTCCAAGGAATAACCAACAAAAATGTTTTCCCATTCTGTAGGTTGTCTTTTCACTCTGTTGGTTGTTTCTTTCCTGTGCAGAAGCTTTTTGATTTAATATGATCCCATTTGTTGACACTCAGTACCATTTCCTCTGCAACCAAGCAAGATTCTATGCAGAAAGTCCTTGCCTGCACTCCTGACTTAGGGAATTTTCCTATTTTATTTTCCACCACATTACATATTTATGTTTTAACATTTAGTTCTTTGATCCATTTTGATTTTAGTTTAGTTCATGGTGAGAGCTATAGGTCTAGATTCAATCTTCTGCATGTGGATAGCCAATTTTCCAAATATAACTTTAAAAGAAGCTATCTTTCCTCCAGTGTACATTAAAATGCACTTAAAAACAAGCCCACCAATTCCATATTTAAGGCCAATGGTGACTTAAACAATGTCTACAAGGGTAACTCTACGCAGCAGGTGAAGGCAGCTTTCAGTATCTCTTCACTACATTGAAGGATTAGAAAAGGATTAAACTGTGGTCAGGCTCTTTGGAAAATCACCTTTGGCTTGGATTCAAGGCTGCCTCCAGATTTATTTTCCAAAGAGAAAGCTCTATTTCTTTCCCAAAAAGAGCATAGGAGAAGCTCAGAATAGGGAAGGATGACAGGAGGGATGTTGTTGACTGGTTTGATTATGCAGGTTTCTTTCCCATGTTCTATTCAGTATGACCCTGCAATGCCAAAACATGGCCTTAAAATTACTCTTGTGAAATGTCAAAGTTTTATTATTTCCCCAATTCATCTGGGAATATGAGGCTACTTCTGAGTTCCTATTGTCCTATTAGAACTGTTGAATTGATGAATGCTTGGCCAGCTCGTTGGGCATTGTGAAGCTCCCACTCAGCAAGCCTTGAAAGGTTCCTGAAAGATGAAAAGAAAGCAGAGGAGGGTGTCCTGTTGGTTTCTCTTGTATTCTCATCAGAGAGCTGAGCTTGGATTTGCATTTTCATCCATGAGTCTAATGAGAACTGCTTTCTGAGTTCAAAAATGTTGTTGTGACTGCCTCTCTTGTTAACTGCTAGTGGAGTAGTAGGGCTGCCTGCTTCGTTCTCTGTCCAAAGAGGGTTGGCCTTAAGGACTCATCATGCCTCATGCTCTGAACATCTAATCTCTGAGACTGCCCTGGTCTTTCCTTGCTTACATGTTCATTTGGCACTTTTACATCTCTGGTCATATGCGAAACTGTAGTTTTCCTTTCTTATATGTCCTCATCTGCTTTGGGCATGAAGTTTTGACTCTCTTCATGAGAAAAAGGTGAGATATTCTCTCTCTTTATATTCTCTAATAATCTGGAGTCACCTGTTCCTTATATGTGTGGCGGAACTATACATTAAACTCTTGGGGGGCCGGGTGTGGTGGAGCACGTTTGTAATCTCAGCACTTAGGAGGTTAAGGCAGGAGGATCGCTGTGAGTTTGAACCAGCCTGGGCTACATAGTGAGTTCCAGGTCAGTCTCAACTACATAGTGAGACTCTGTCTCAAAAAAACAAACAAACAAAAAAAAAACCTCGGGATCTTCTTTACAGGAAGACTCCGAATAACTGGTTCTACTCCTTCACATGCTGTAAGATCATTCAGACTTTTAGCTCTTCTTGGATTTTGATATATTTTTCCTATACATTTGTGAGTTTTATTTAGTATTTCTAATTTAATGGCATCTAAATCAACAAAATGTCATTTATTGTGTTACTTGCTTTTTTATTCTAAATTATCTAAAAGAGTACCTCCTGTTTAAAGAAATCATAGTACCAATGCATTGAAACAAAATGTGTTCTGTGGTTACGGCTCCTTTTCATTACATTATATTTATTCCTTGTCACTGTTTTCCCTTCATCACTTTTATGGAATATTTGTCAGTTTAATTAAGGCATGATCTTGGTCTCCTCTGCCAGAAATAACACATTTGTGCATTATAGTAGCCCCAGCACCAAGAATCCTGCCTGGCATGTTGTAAGCATTCAATATGTAATTTTTTTTATTTAAAAATGGAAAAGGCATAGAAACGTATAATTAATGACCAAGTTTTAAATATTGTTCACAGCAGAAAACCGTAGCATACTAAGTGCAGGGAACTTTCTTTTCAGAAGAAAAAAATAAATGATAGCTTAAAGAAGAAAATGTCATTAAATTGCCTATATCAGCATTCAACATTTGACCAATTCTTATCCCCTAAAAAAGAAGCAAAGATCTTGAAATATTTCAAACTCAGAATACGTTCCTTGGAAGTCCTTGTGATTTTAATGAAAGGAGCTTTGTTTTCAACAACCCATGATAGGCCCCTTAGAAACAAGCAAAATCATGAATTTGCTAAATTTCCTTTACTGCTGCAACATTAGCCAATGTGTGATTCCATGGCACGCAACACTGACCCATCACCAGTGTTCATTTTTCTAGTTGATGATGCAGATATGCGGGAAAGGAAGGGGTCTCATGAATGCAGAGATAAGAGGAAATGTTGAAAGGGCAATGAGTTTTGTTCCTGTTGCATAATACAGTCCTCCAGATACTAGGTTGAGAAACAGCATCTTGGGCCACTCTTTTGATTTTCAGGAAAAACTCTAGTACCAAAAGTTCCAACCCTTGCATCTCTTTTCTTATCCCAAATTAAATAAGGAGAGAAGAAAAATGGGTTTCCTGCACTCACCTCTCTACGTATGTAATCTACATTCTCGCTAGCATTGTTTTGGTGCTATCTGAACTAGCTAAGAATCAGAGTCATTGCATAATCTATAGTAGCCAAGACGTGGAGATTGTGCATAATCCTGGCCCTTTTGTGTACTTTGTAAATTCTAACAAAATCTTTGTATCAGATCAAGCCCAGTGTGGTGGTCACATTCCAGGAATCCAAGCACTCTGGGAGGCCGAGGCAGGAGGGTCACAGTTTGAGTGCAGCCTAGACACTTCAGCAATTTTGCAAAACCTTGACTCGAAATAAAAAATTTTAAAAAGGACTGGGGATGTAGCTCAGTACAGTGGTCCTGGTTCAATCCCCAGTACTGCAATAGTACTCAAAAAAAAGGGAGAAAGAAAAGAAACCTGAATCAGATTATAAATTATAAGTCTTTTCTAAAGTAAATGCTGAGTACAAACTTCAGTAAATGTCAATCCTGCAGAACTGATGTCAGAGCACCACATTTGAATTTAAAGGTTCCATTGAGGGCTCAAAATGTAGTTCAAAGGTAGAGCACTTGCCTAGCATGAAGCAAGCCCCGGGTTTCACTTCCATCACCACACACACACACACACACACACACACACACACACACACACACACGAGCGTGCACGCGCGCACACACACACACACACATGTCTCTCTAAAGTCTCTTCCTGACAACCTGAAAGAGTAACAGTGAGGCTACGAAATGTCAGCACTTAAATCAAGGGAAATGGGAGAGAAACAAACTCACCAGCACTGCTGATGGTCTGAGCCTGGGAGAAGAGAGGGCTGACATCCCTGGCAGGAAGGTCCTGCCCTCCTGTAATTCAGTCAGATGTGGGAGATGTGGGATACGCAACTGTGCTGTGGGTAGTAGAAGAGTACACAAGAGGATAAAGCATAATTCCTGGAAAGAGTTTTCATTTATTTATTTGTTTTTTTAACAGTGATAAAATGTACCTTTACCTACTTTTTTGAGTCAGGGGGTTGGAAAGTATTTTTAAATGAGGATATATTTAAATTTACTAAAATGAGTAATTTTTAAAATTATAAGTGCCATAGACAAGTGCTGTGTATTTAGCCTGGTAAGTATAGTAGATTGCTTTGCATATTTACAGGGCAACTACGTGCCAGTGTGCTGACCATGGTGGATGCTCGATTGATATTTTCAGAAGGATATGTGCTGTGAAAAGCCTTGGTCTGGGAGGCAGTAGGCCTGGATTCTCTCACTAACCAGCTGGTATCCTTGGGCAGACAGGAATTTCCCCTGTCGATCAGAAGAGAAGTGGAATGGCCATACGACCTCATCCTCCTTGCTTAGGCCGTACATCTATTAGTGTTACAAGAAGAACAGGTCCCTGAAGAGCAGTCAAAATATTATTTTAAGGAATCACTGAGCAGAATCACAAAGACCAGGAAAAGTAAGTGGGCCTCTCAGTGAATGGAAAGTAGTCCGACATGACTGGAGGTTGAACAGTAGGACGATGATGCCAGAGATGAGAACAGAGGGATGGAGCATAATCACTGAAGGTGTGAGGAGTTAAGAGTTCCATTTAAAGGTGAGCCCCCCTCCTTAAAAACAGTCCTGGATTCCATCCCAGTACTGCAAAAAAAGAGATTATAGAATATAAAGAGCGACACTTAAAGGCGGTTGTAAAATGTTAATCCGTTTCTCCTCAATCTGTGTGCCCGTGCTCAGAGTTTTACCTCACTTAGAGTAAAATACCTTTCTGAACACTTAGAATAACTGTCTTTACGCTGCTCATGATTGTCCCAGGCCTCACTACTTTTTATGCATTGCATTGGAGAACTAACACCCTTCATGAGGCCCACCTCAGTCAACCCATGAGTATGTGATTCCATTTTCAAGAATGTTTGCTCTAAAGCTTTTGAAGAAAAAGAGAGAGAGAGCGAGAGAGAGAGAGAGATGAGTCAAAATTATCTGAGCATATCTGTTAGGACAGGTGACTGTAACCCTATAAATAGTGACATTATTCTTTGTTTTAATAAAGCAGTGGATTGTGGCCTTTGTGTACCCAGAATCAACAAGGTTTTAAACATTGAGGGCCCAAGACTCATCACTAGTGATTCTGGTTCAACAGAACTGGGGAAAGTTTGACAGAACTCATTGTAATCTCAGGTGACTTGAGTATGATAAAAGCCTTTTATGTAGGGCTTTGTAGTTTACACAGCCTTGAACGATATCCTTCTATCCTTATGGCCAACGTAGACAGAGAGCCAGGTTGCTGAAATTATCACCATTTCTCACTGGACAAAACTCAAGCCCAAAGAACTATTATCTCTCTGAGTGACAGGAGTGACAGTGAGACTTCACCTCAATTTTCTGAGCCGAGGCCCATAACTTTTTCACTATGGCTGTTCGGTCTCCACTAGAAACAAAGGTAAGAATGTGCAGCCCAAGCCAAAGAAATAGTAGGACCAAGTAGCACATTTGAGGGCTAGCAAAGGAGTACGTCCAGGTGCAATGAAAAAGCACTTCTCTGTGATTAACACACTTGTGGACCTGTTAATCCAAAGAAAGGTTCAAAGGAGGCTGTGGAAGCCTCCTGGATGAAGGCTCCACAGCTCACTTATGTGACAGCAGCTCCACATGCTCACACACCCACCAGCCGCCAAAGACCACCTGGGAATACGAGGCTGCAGAAGTCTGCACACTGCACTCAGAGGGTCTCAGGTTGTGCTGCATAGGCTCAGCTGTACTCTCCTGGCACTAAAATTCAGTTCTGCAGACCCTGCAAGGAAGGAATAGCAGAGATAAGTAAAATGCCCACATTACCCCAAATAAGCTGTGAAATATGAGGATGTGGTGATGATCTCATTACCGCAGAAGAACTCTGGGCCCCCTGGGTGACATCAGGCAGGAGAGTTATTACGTGGTTAAAATGGGGAAGGAAACTAAGGGTTATCAGATGGCTGCAGTGTGACAGGCCTTGCTTTACACTCACTGCCATAGTTTGGCCCCACGGTCATCACAAAAGAGCGGTAAATATGGTGAACAGTTCCTCTCAAACAGGAGGAACATTAGGCTCATAAAGACTGAAGGATACACCCAAGGTGTTCACACAGTACGCTAGAGACGCGTCTATCTCCAAAGTCTGTGGTCTTTCTCTTCTTTAGAGTTTCTTAGGACCTTGCTAGCAGAAGGTAAGAAAGGCTGAGGCACCACAATATGCAAGTCAGTCAACAGACTTACCCTTGATGAGACAGCCCTGTTCTTGGAGTGGAACCTCTGTGGTGACAGTGGCAGTGTCTGGGAGCACAGCCATGCAACCGCATAGGCACAGGAGCGAAAAGCCGGGACACCTGATCCTTACCCGAATGCGCTCCTGGCAAGGTGTGGGAGTGCCCGCCCTGGCATGGGCAATCCTGGCTCCCTTAGTCACTGTGCCATCACGTAACACATAGAGCGTCTCCAACAGCACTGCATGATAGATGCAAATGTCATCCGACCCCCAATACAGGAGACAGAGAAAGCAGAAATGAACCGTCATCTCTAGCTTAGTTGTTGCTATCCCGAAAGCCTCCTTCACCACCTTCCAGCCACCCCACACCAGCAGCCAGACCACTACCTGAAACACAGATGCGAATGTGTCCTGCTCCAGCAGAACATTCTGTGGTTTCCTGTTGTGCTTCAAACAGTGAAAACTCATGACCATGGCCAGTGCTTCCTTGGCCTCTTCTCAGCTCTCTAACCTTCATGCCCACTAAGCTTTCCTTTGTCTTTCTTTTAGTTCCCAAGCATGCCTACTCAGGACCTAAGGACATGTCGCATCCTTGCCTGGATCACAGTCCTCCCTCCCAGCCCTAGTTCATTATCTTTCTTTTTTCTTTATTGGTAAATTTTAGGTATAAAATACAATTACATTCATCATTGGGATCTTACACCTTTACATGACGTATCTTGGTTCTTATTTTTCCGCCTCCTCTGCACTCCCTTCATCCCCTCCACTGCTCCCTATTTACAAAGACTTTGTTTCCATTTTTCTCCTTTCCTCTTACTTTTTCTTTTCCCTTCCAGTCTTTCCCATACCACCCCCCCATTTCCCCTACATCTTTAGACCTATTTTCCTATTACACAATATCAATTATACATTTTGATCCTTATTTACAATTTTAGTTTATCATAACAGAGAAACTATTCAGTATTTACACATGTGTCCTATTAATTTCACTTAAGAGTATGTCCTCAATGTGTATCCACTTAGCTATACATGTCTCTAGTTTCTCATTCTTTATGGCTGAGCAGTGCTCCATTTTATGAAAAGAAAAAAAACACATCTTCTTTATCCAGTGTCCAACTGATGGGCAATTGGAATGTTTCCAAGTTTTAGCTATTACAGACTGTGCCGCTATAAACAGGGGTGCACATATATCACTGTGGTACGATCCTTTAAATTCTTTTGGAAAGATACCCAGCAGAGGGATAGCTGGGTCAAATGGGACCTGTAGTCCCAGCTCTTTGAGCTATCTCCATATTGATTTCCATAGTGGTTGCTGGTGCACTCCCACCAACAATGGAGAAACTAGTCCATTATCTTAACTAATTTCTTTTCACTCCTTTTATTCCTGCCTAAATGTCACCTTTTCAGAATCTCCTCATTAAATTTTATAATGTCTACAGACAATTACAATTGAAATGCAAGAGTTGAGCATTTTGGTCTTTGTTAATGCCTGGTTTTTCCTACTAGAATGTACACTCAATGAGTGCAGGAGAAATGATGATATGACATTCTATTTCTCAGTGGGTTGTATATTGAATTTATCATTAAATAGTAGTTGAATGAGCAAACTAACATGAACTCTTTCCCTGAAAGGATTTGCTTGCTATATCTCAGAACCAAAGGAGAATCCAAACCAGCCCAATTGCTTGTCTTGCACAAAATGAAACATTCAATAAATGTCACATTGGAATCTGAGAGTGGAAATGTCATATATAAAAGCCTTATATTTATGTCTAAACTTCAGCATGTGATTTCAAATGCTGAATCCACATAGGAATACATATCTTCACCAAAATGCACTTCATTTCTTAGCTAAGAAAACAGGACGACCTCAGTGGGAATCCACCTCTCACTTTGCAAATCAAAAGAAAACCAGAAGCCAAAACAAATAGCACTCTAAAAGTCTTTTCAGTTTCATGATGCAAAGATTTCAGCCGAAAATTCTAAAGAGTCAGAGAAGGACATGGGCATGGGCAGTGTGGCCCACAGGCTGCGCTCTGCCCTCACACCTAGTGACAGTTGGCAGTGACAGCCACCTGCAGATATGCCATGACAGTGCAGTGATAGGAGGTGGGACTTCACACGAGCACAGCAATGAACTGCTTCCTTCTGAGTGCATGTACTAAAGGTACATCGCAATCCTGCAGGTAATCACAGACACTGAAACAAGGAGCACAAAATGAGAGGGGAAACAAGTAAATGAAGCACAAGTCACGTGAGGCAGTAAGGCAGTAATTAAACTGGGTAGACAAGAAGTACTGATGCCCACATCTTTACTACATCCGCGTACTCACTGATCTGAAGAGCAGGTGAGGCGCAAAGCAATAAGCTTAACTGTTGTGTCAGCTCCAGGGACAAAATCCATGCTGGAGAACATTTGCAATACTAAAGGGAAGAAGCCAAAACTCACACATGTCTGTGTGCCCTGCCCACATGCACCACACATGGAACATTGACAACCAGTGAGTCAGAGATGCCCGCACCTTCAGGCCAACTTTTGCCTGCTCCAAGCCCCCACCACCAGGCAACACCAACTCCTCTGTCCTTCCAACACAACAACCATTCCCAAGTACCGAGGACTCCAGGGGCATAGCTAGAAGCCTCTGTCAGTTTCCACACCCATCATCCTTGTGTAGTACTGGCCAAGCTGATGTCTGGGGTCAGCTGCCAGACCCACCAAAATGACAGCACAGTGCACAGGGCCCCAGTAACAGGATCAGAAAGTACACATCAACAGTCTTCTCCCCTGTGTGCCCTCTCTCTCTCTCTCTCTCTCTCTCTCTCTGTGAGTGTGTGTGTGTGTGTGTGTGTGTGTGTGTGTGTGTGTCCTTGTCTCTCTACACACATCTGAAGACTTCAGAAGTTTCTTTCCTTTGCCTGGAAGTATTTAAGCAGCTACAGTTTTGGAGTATGCCAAAGTAAGTTCCAATCAAATACTTTATCTCTGGGTTTGTCTTCCATGTAAAATGTGAGTCATGCTTAGAGACAAGCAATTTAAGTTAACCATTGTCTGCATGCAATTTCCTCCTACAGGACCACACTTCACCTCTCCTCCACACTCAAGCTGGCCTAGTTGCCTTTGCCGGGTCTTGGACAGCCAAGGGTTTACTTTAAACATCACTCAATAGTACTTGAATAGTACTTGAATAGTACAAGAAGGAGAAGGATGAAACTGGCATCGCCATCCTTTTGGGTGTTAGTTACCCTGAAATCAGATAATAGGACAGACTTTGTTCCTACTCCTAGGTGAGGCTCTGTTATGGTTTCACAATATAAGCAGCTGGTTACAGCCCAAATGCTGATGGGATAGCTTGTCATCTATTTTCATCATTGTGGTTTAAGACTTCTGAGTTTTAAATTTTTTTAGTATTAAAGATGCCCATAAAAATGTGCACTTTTTAACCTTCAAGTTTGTCACAAAAGGGCCACTTACAGGTTTAGTAGATTAGTTAATGCTTCACTGAGAGGTGAAAGGGTTTAATATAAGATAGGGAAGACAAGAAACAAGTTGTGCTTACTTTCCATTTTTTTCTAGCTGTGGTAAAAATTGTGCCACTGTCCATCCACTGTGAGGCCTTAGGTGGATCATTTAATTGCACCAAACTCAACCTGGCTCTCTTTCAGAAACAGAGATTTCAATCATTTTCCAACGTCACACAATCATAAAATCTGAGCTCTGTATGCATATAAAGTACTGGATGTAATTTAAGAAAGTATAAAATCTGATATTTACTTTAATCTTTGAAAGTCTTATAGCTGAAGGGACTTGGTGATCATCTAGGTGCCATAAAAACAGAACAAAAGGCAGCTGGTTCTATTTACAACAGAAGAAAATGAGATGGAGAAGAGATGTTCTTTACATAGCATTTATATTAAATAGTTCAATTTTACAAGTAATAAATTAAGGTATTCTTCCATACTGACCTGTACGCAGATCACCACAGTGCAATGAGTTCAATGCCGGGAAAAGAGTCAGCGCTACTTCTCAGAAGAGGGGGCTCCATAGCTGAACTTTGAGCGGTAGATAAGGATTGGCCAAGGGGTGGCAGAAATAGGGAAGGGCTGGTACAAGGGAATGAGTGTGGCAGAAAAAGTGTGAAAGTGGCAATGTCTTGTGTAAGTCTAGGACTAAGCTCATCATTGGGCCAAGAGAGGCTCAGTACTGAGTATGCTGGAGAAGAGGAAGGAAAGGGAGCTAATCCAGGTGTGCGGGTGACACGAAGGACTGCAGAAACTAAGAAGCCTGAGATGAATGTGATGAGGTGGAGAAGCCTGCGATGGGCAGAACTGAGAGACATCAGCACTCACTGAAGGCAGCAGGGGGCTTGGACAGAGCGACGCACATGGAATCCTGATGACTCCTTCAAGGCCACACAGCCAGCAGCGGCTGGGGCAGCCTCAGTAAGGACTCTTGATGCCTCTCAATTCCAGTTTCCTCAGCTCTGAAGCATGAGAACTGTACCTGTTAAGACACAAGGCCACTTCTAGTCTTGTCCATTTTTTTCAAAAAAGTATAAATCCCCCACTCAGTGCCACTAGACTTTAGCAACTCAGGCTCTGAAGATGAATGAGATGATTTCACCATTTGCTGCTTCCACAAGCACAGACCCACTCTTACACCTGCTTCTCCCTCCTCTGTGCTCTGAGCAGCCATCCCCACTGTATCCAGTGGTCTGTGTTGCTTTCTCACAGTGGGAGAGCCTGGGGGTTCTGGGGAGAATGGGAGAGGGAGCTTGGGGTGTTTCTCCTTTGCCCTCCTTGCTACTCCTCTAAGGGCTGGCAACCTCTCTCCAGAAAAACACTGCCTGCTTAGCAGTCCATCACTGGTGACTGTGGCCCTCTCTGGGGCTCATTACATGATTCCCACCCTCATTCCTCCAGGCTCGGATATGCCACTGCCTTCTCACTTTTGCTAAGACCTCAGTATCTCAACGTCCTCTAACCTTTCCCTCAGTCATTGTGCATAATCTCTTATTAAAATGCCCTCAGATAGATTCCAGTGAGTGGAATTCTATTCATGGCAGACTCCTGATTCTTACAGAGCAATCAGGCAGACCGAATTATCAATGGTCATTGCAACGCAATATAAAATACCACAGAATACCACGGAAGGAAAAGCAAAGAGAAAGCAATATGAAAGGCTAAACAAGTGACGCTGGGGGAAGTGTTTGTGTGGAGAATCCTGGGGTTGAGGTGCAAGACTAATGCCGGACACAGAGATGAATAAAGGGGACGAGAAAGTGTATTGTCACTGCTACTAACTGGTTATTTTTGCTGTATTCTGAGCAACTTTCCAGAGCCAAAAGAGAAGTATAATCTGCCAAACTAGAAGGGGCTGATTTTTGCTCTTCCTTGAGCGAGGGGTGTCGTGAAGATCCACTGACTTCCAAACAACTCCACAGGAACAAATGCAAGATGTATCTGCTTTACAAAGGAAATCAGACGTATCCCAAATCTACAAGGGACAAGATGGACTCCATACAAAACGTGAGGCCCCAGGCTGCTGGAATGAACCTACTATTCTCT